TTATTAGAACTTACTAAATAACCCTTTTCATTTGATAACTCATTATTTTTTTGTTCTAAAGTTTGAGTCTCCATACATATTATCTCTTTAATTGTAGCCAATTTTGTCATTGATTCCTCAATTTTAGTTTCATCCTCTAAAAACATTAAGATATATTATCTTATTTCATGAGAACTTTAAAGCAACAAGAAATAGCTTATTTCTTTTTCAAAATTTATTTTCTTCAAATTAAATTATTCGCATTCTAAATTTACTATTGAGTTGTTGACTTTTCTTGATTTCACCCACGATTTCAGCATTGGACTGCAACAACTGTTTAAGCGTCGTCGTATCTGTTTCCACAAGTTTTGTCCTCAGCGATTCTATCCAGTTGCTCTCCATCTTATATGAAACTTATCTAATATTAAATCTAAATCTCGTGTCAAAATATAAAATCTTTTTGACATTTGTAGAACTTACGTTATAAAATTCGAATCACCAACCATAGGATCGACAATTTCCGACATAAACTATTTATTCTTCGTGAGAGAGTATCGAGATGGAGTTACGAAGAACAGGTTGGATAGAGACATTACAATTAGAGACTGGTCACGAAAAAAACACTTTTGATTGGTCCGCCATTTTTTAGCTATTTCCACTTATTTTCAAATACATTAACTACATTAATCTTAAATTGTAATATTATACTTTAAAAACATAAGTGTTTTAAAGGTAATAAAATGTGTACATTTATAAAACTTTATTTTACATAATTATATTACCAATTTATTAATATATTTCTTTTATTTTAACGATTTTAAATTTATTATTTATTTATTTATTTATCTTTTTTATTTATCTTTTTTTTCGCTATTTATCTTTTTCAACACAAGAGCAAAAATTAATATAATACTATTATACTACTGTTACACTATAATATTTTTAACTTTTTGATACACAATTGTCAAAATTCTCTATGAAATCAATACAATGACAGCTATTCACAAAGTTAGCGCAGCGAGAGAACCCATCGAAAAATCTAAATTAGAAAAATCGAAATCTAAATTATCTTGAAAGTACCCGAATGCCAATGTGATTTAACGATGACCTATACCAGCCTGATCAACCATTTTATAAGAATATTAGTTACTTATCTGATATTTATCCCTTCTCCATTTGCCTTTCCTTATTTTTCTTTTTCATCTTTATTTTTCTTTCACAATATATTTTACAGTTTAGAAAAATATTTTATTATTTTTATATATGCACATGACATATGCATATATATATATATATATATATATATATATATATATATATATAG